GAAGCAATAAGTTTGTGACTTGCGACGTCTACGAATGACCAATGTAGAATGGCCTTTAGACCGGTATCAGACTATACATTGAAGATTGAGATTGAAAATTAAAGATTGAAATTTCATCAATGACAAAGAAATTCTGACCCTTTTGTTCTGATCAAGCTTCAATCTTTTCATCTTCAATTTCATTCTTCAATGCGTAGTCTAATTCCGATCTTAGACCCAATTTTACGACTCACGATTAATTCTTAACTGAGGTTTAACTTATTCATTATTTCTTTTCAATTCTAGAATTGAAAAGAGATAAGAAATGAATTGAACCTCGGTTAAACTTAACCGTCAGTTGTGAAACTGGGTCTTACATGAACAATACGCTTAATTGGATTTAGCATCCGTAGTTATAAAATTGGCCAATCATAGCTGTTCCTCGGAAGAATGGAACAACTATGATTGACCAGTTTTATACTACGAATTTTATTAATTAAGGGTGCCATGTAAATGTAGTCAATGGTCTAGTTTCCACCGAGGATTTGAACCGAATCAGAATGCAAGAACCAATCAACTACAATTGAGTATTCCCCTATTACAGTCGAACGACAGGGGAATGCTTGACTGTAATTAGTTGATTTTTGTACTTTGATGCGGATCGAACTTTTGGTGGAAATTAGGCCAATGAGATTATAGCCCGGTTTCACCAACGTCGATCAAGCTTAATCGTGATTAATTATCAACCGCAATTGGACGATTTTACTAAACAGAAACGCAATTGGTCAGTCAACGACCAATTGAACTAACTGGCATTGGTAAAACTGATCCTAAGCAATTATAGTTTGTTTCACTCTAATTTATTGCACTGATACAGAATTAGATCAAAATTTTTGGAAAAAACAGATCTCTACTTTGCCGACTTGAACTAGCCCATTGCATGTACCCATAGTAAACAGAAGTGTAAATAATTTTATTTGTTATGATATTTTGAGGATCAAATTACAAAATACAACTTTTTAGCAAATTTCGCAACTTTGTAAAATATAACTAAAAAAAGTTTTGTGATAAACTATTGCTTTTGTAAGACAAAATATGAGCATGGTTATTTATCTACAGTCTGCACTAAGAATGAGGTGTAGATGCATTATTTAAGCGGAAAGAAATCTGATTATATATGTTGT